TGTCAAGTTTATTTATCTTCTCAAAGAACCAGCTCTTTGTTTCATTGATCCTTTCTACTGCCTTTTTTCTTTCTATAGCATTTATTTCTGCTCTGATTTTTATTATTTCTCTCCTTCTGCTGACTTTTGACTTTGTTTGTTCTTCTTTCTCTAATTCAATTAGGTGTAATTTGAGATTGCTTATTTGGGATTTTTCTTGTTTGTTAAGGTGTGCCTGTATTGTGATGAATTTCCCTTTTAATACAGCTTTTGCTGCATCCCTTATGAGTTAGTATGGCATGTTATCATTTTCATTTGTCTCCAGATATTTTTTGATTTCTTCTTTAATTTCTTCAATGATCCATCACTTGTTCAATAGCATATTGTTTAGCCTCCACATCTTTGTCCCTTTCTCAGCTTTTTTCTTGTAATTAATTTCTAGCTTTATAGCATTATGATCAGAGAAGATGCTCATTATTATTTCAATTTTTTAAAATTTATAAAGCCTTGTTTTATTTCCCAACATATGGTCTATCCTTGAGAATGTTCCATACACACTTGAGAAGAATGTGTATTCTGCTGTTTTCGGATGGAGTGTTCTATATGTGTCTATTAAGTCCAACTGTTTTAGCTTTTCATTTAATTCCACTGTTTCCTTGTTGATTTTCTGTCTTGATGATCTGTCCCATCATGTGAGTGGAGTGTTGAGGTCCCCTACTATTATTGTGTTATTTTTGATATCTTCTTTTACATTTGTTAACAGTTGCTTTATGAACTTTCATTCTCCTGTGTTGGGTACATAGATATTTATAAGTGTTATTTCTTCTTGATGTAGTGTCCCTTTGATCATTATATACTGACCCTGTATGTCTCTCTTTACCTGCCTTATCTTGAAATCTACTTTGTCTGATATAAGCATTGTGACACCTGCTTTCTTTTGTTTGCCATTAGTTTGGAGTATCGTCTTCCACCCCTTCACTCTGAACCTGTATTTGTCACTGGAGCTGAGGTGTGTTTCCTGGAGGCAACAAATGGTTGGACATTGTTTTTAATCCATCTTGCCACTCTGTGTCTTTTTATTGGAGAATTCAATCCATTTACATCGAGGGTAATTATTGATGTATAAGGGCTTCCTGCTGTCATTCTGTCACTTGTTATCCTGTTTTCTTGCATTTCCTTTGTTTCCTGTCCTGTGTGTTTTGGTCTACCCATTGATTTCTGCAGTTTCTCATGCTGGGTTTCTTACCTTTTTCCTTATTTATTGTTTGTGTCTCTGTTCTGTTTTTTCGTTCAGTGGCTACCCTAAAGTTTGTATTCAGAATCTCGTGAATAACATAGTCCATTTTCTGGTGGTCTCTTACTTCCTTAGCTTAAACTGATTCAGTCCCTTTCCTCCTCCTCTCCTAAGTTATTATTTTCATCTCTTATTCCAACTTGTGCTGTGAGTTTATGGTTAAAGTGATAAGATTGTCTTTGTTTTTGGTGTTTTCATTCCCTTTAACCTAATGCTATAGTTGAATATTTGCTATCCTATTCTTATTCTACCTATTTGTCTCCTTATTCTGTGTTTTGTGACCCCTTTCTCCCTTTTTTTTCTCTTTTCAGGTATGAGGGCCTTCTTGAGGATTTTTTGTAGTGGTGGTCTCGTGGCTACGAAGTCCCTTAGCTTGTATTTGTCTGGGAAGGATTTAATTTCTCCCTCATATCTGAAGGATATTTTTGCTGGATAGAGTAGTTTTGCTGAAGATTTTTATCTTTTAAAGTTTTGAATATGTCATTCCAATCTCTCCATCTTGTAAGGTTTCTGCAGAGAAATCTGCTGAAAGTCTGATAGGTGTTCCTTTATAGGTTATTTTCTGCTACCTTGCTGCCCTGAGTATTCTTTCTTTGTCATTCATTTTTGCCAGGTTTACTACTGTATGCCTTGCAGTAGGTCTTTACATTGATATATCTAGGAGATCTGAAAGCTTCCTCCACACACATTTCTCTCTCATTCCCTAGATTTGGGAAGTTCTCTGCTATTATTTCTTTGAGCACGCTTTCTGCTCCATTCTCCTTTTCTTCCTCTTCGGGGATACCTATAATTCTTATGTTGCATTTCCTCATTGAGTCAGCTATTTCTCAGAGGTTTTATTCATTTCTTTTTAGTCTTAGTTCTCTCTCTCCCTCTGTCTGGAGCCATTCAACCTGTCTATCTTCAATTATGCTGATTTGCTCCTCTATGGTGTCCACACATACATTCAGGGAATCCATATTTTGTTTTATCTGATCCATTGTATTTTTCATCTCTAGTATTTCTGATTCATTCTTCTTTATAGTTTCAATGTCTTTTGTGAAGTAGCTCCTGAACTCATTGAATTGTTTCTCTATATTTTCTTTTACCTCATTGAGTTTTTTGATGATAGCTATTCTGAATTCATTGTCATTTAGTTTACTTTTTTCCAAGTCCTCAGGACATAATTCTGTGGTTTTATTGTTTTCCTTCTGGTCTGGAGCTTTTATGAATTTGATGCTAGAAGAACAATTTTTTTGCATAGTGATATTATTCAGTTGCAGTTACAGCCTAACACCACTAGAAGTGGGTCGAGAGCCACATATTCTGAGCTGTCCACCTTCAGCAGAGATGGCATGGCACAGCGTGGGTTGGGGGGGGCACTTTCTCTGTGTGCAGACTCAGGTTTCCTGATCAGCTCTCACTATCTGGTTTCCTGGGGTCTTAGCTTGATGGGGTAACCCCACATGAAAGTTTTCACCCTGTTCGAGGGCTTCCCTCTAGGCTGCAAGGGTGCTAAGGAGTCCTGGGTGATCCTGTGGATGTGTGGCCCCTCCCCCACTCCTTTCTTCATGGAGCCATCCATGGCAATGATCCCAGTCTTTAGGGGAGGGAGCAAAGTTCTCTCTTGCCCCTTTCCAGCTCCTCCAAGGGGGACTCGAGCCTCTCTGCCCTCCGTCATTTGGCTGCTGTGGGTCTCTGAGGATTCCTGTGCTATTAGGATATTTTTTGTTAGAATAGGATTGTTCCTTTTTTAAAATTTTTTTAAAGATTTTATTTTTCCCTTTTTCTCCCCAAAGCCCCCTGGTACATAGTTGTATATTCTTCATTGTGGGTCCTTCTAGTTGTGGCATGTGGGATGCTGCCTCAGCGTGGTTTGATGAGCAGTGCCATGTATGCGTCCAGGATTCGAACCAACGAAACACTGGGCCACCTGCAGCGGAGCGTGCGAACTTAACCACTCGGCCACAGAGCCAGACCCTGATTGTTCCTTTTTGTTGTATGTTGGAGGGGAGAATGTCTTGGCCAAGCTCACTCCACCATGATGCTGACATCACTATTTCATTAACTTTTTTTTTATCTCTATTTGCCTCTGGATATTTTATCTTCCTCATTCACTATATAAGTCATTTTTGTCTTCTCTTTTTTTCTGTAACTTTACTACAGGTTTGTCTATTATATTAGTTATTTTTTCCCAAAGAACCAAGTTTTGGCTTTGATCATCTTCTCTGTTTTATCTTTATTTTCTATTTTAAGTTTGCAGTCTTTTTTTTTTAATTGTCTGTTTCCTTCTTATTTCTTTGGATATATTTCAATATTAATTTTCAAAGCTATAACTTTCTCCTAAGGCATTGCATTTATTGTATCCAAAGGGTTAGATATTTAGTGTTTTCAACATAATTTATTTCTAAGAATTTTATAACTTTCATTATAAGTTTTTAGACTTCCAAATATAAAGAATATTTTTATGTTTTTAATTATTAACTCCCAACTTAGTTGTATTGTGATCAGAGGTCATAGTGCATACAACAGCTAGTTTTTGCAACGTGTTGAGGCTTTCCTAACCAGTCAAGCAAATTATCATTTTGATAAACATTTGTGTGCTCTTGAAAAAAATACAATTAGTCACAATAGCCAAGGTATGGAAAGAACCTAAGTGTCCCCCAATGAATGAATGGATAAAGAAAATGTTGTGTATATATATATATATATATATATATATATATATATATATATACAATGGAATGTTATTCAACCTTAAAATAAGAAGGAAATTTTGTCATTTGCAACAACATGGATGAACTTGGAAGGCATTATGCTAAGTGAAATAAGCCAGACAGAAAGAGATATACTGCGTGGTATCACTTACATATGGAATCTTATTTTTAAGAAAAAGGAAGTCATCAAACTCATAGAAACAGAAAATAGAAAGAAGGAGCTACGGGGTGGGGGAAATAGGGAGAGGTTGTTAAAAGGGTACAAGCTTTCAGTTTTAAGGGGAATAAGGTCTGATGATCTAATTATAACATGGAGACTATAGTTGATAACATTGTATTTTACAATTGAAATTTGCTAAGAGAGTAGAACTTAGACATTCTCACCCTGCAGAATAGGTAAATATGTGAGATGAAGGATGTGTTAATTCACTTAATGGGAAGAATCCTTTCACAATCTATGAGGATATCAAATCATCGAGTTGTGCACTTTAAATATCTTACAATTTTATTTGTCAGTTATACCTCAATAAAGATGAAAAAAATGGATATCCCAAATGTTGCTTGCAGAATCTATAAAAATCAAACTTGATTTTTTTTTCTGCTTGATCTATCAGTAATTCAGAGAGATCTGTTGAAATCTCTCTTTCCAGTGACAGATCATCAATTTCTTTCTCTTGTTTGTCAATTTTTTCTTCATATATTTAGAAGCTATTTTATTAAAGTCACAGTTGTTTTAAAATATTTTGTTTTTTGAATAATTGAATTGTTTTTATTTGATACTGAACTTCTGCAGTCTTTTGTTTAGTATTAACCTGATTCATATTTTTTCATATCACTATGATTGATTAAACTTGAGCTGCAGGCTCATCCCTGGAATTAAGGTAGTGGTGTCAATATTACTTAACCATGTGGATTAATGATGGAGGATGGATGTTTTCCAAGAGGAGAGTAAAGCTGGTATTTAAATGCACTAAATAAATCTGACAATCTCTAAACTAAAGTCAATCATCTTTGGCACATCGTTTGTCCAGGGCTCCTCCTTCTTTGGAATTAGAAACCATATTTAAGTGCTACATGGCCTATACAACTTTTGTTTCTGGATCTGCACTAAAGTGGGAGGATCTGAGGCGAGTTGCGGTAAGATCTAGTTCTTTTTCTCCTGGTACTTTTCCTAAGCTGCAAGAATTAAGAAGATAGGATGTATTGCTCTTTCAAAAGTTATTATGCCATGTTATTAAATTGGGGGAAATATGACTTCCTCAACTTTAAAAACTGATGATACGGGAAATGTACTAATTGACCTCCAAATGGTCCTTAAAACATATCAAGCAGACTTCATGCTTTCCCTGTACTTATTTAAATTATTTACTTCACTAAACTCTCTATATGTCTAGAACAGTTTTATTTTATCAGCCTAAGATATATGAAAAAGTTATGGCTAGCAAAACTGTGTTTGATCTTACTATGCAAATAGGATTTTTACCAGATGAGAGATTTCTAGGAGTCCATCACCTTCACCAAATTTTGGTAAACAAGTTGATATGCCTTCTGATAGGAGAAACATGAAGGAAAATAGCAGAAATCCCATTAAGGTTGAGATTAAAACTAATGAGCAACAGCCAACCCTCTAGACATCTTTCATTTGAGATCAAAGCCAGCTTCCTCTCATGTGTTAGGTTTCATAGAGTCATACAAACCAAAAGGCTTCAGTTTTTTAAGGCAGAGTTCTGTACATTTAACATAAAGTATGGAAACCAAAAATGACAGATACAGCATAATCTTTCTCTTCCCTGAAACTTAGTATTGTAAGAGCCACTTCAATAATTTTCCAGAACCTTAAGATTCAGAATCCACAAATATTTAATGACTGTTTACCTTGACCCAAGCAGACTTCAAGTTCCTCTATTCTTTGCCTATTCTGAAAGGTAAATAAATATATAGGTAGTTCTTTAAAAAGATCATATTACTCATCACTAGTCATAAATTGATGGTTATAGATGATAGGAAAATATAACTATGTTACTACACCCATTTTAAAGCAAGTTTACATCTATGTTGGAGACCCTGTGCCCTGGTCCATCTGCTACATCCCTTGCAGCATTTGCAGGATTATGATTCTGATGTAAAGACATCCTTATCAGAAGTCCTTCCCAAGTGTGTTCTCTTTCCTACTGGAAATTTTATAAGAAAACTCAAAAGGGGAGCACTAAAGCATTTCCCATGTAATTAACAAGATGGCTGCTGTTTAATCTTGAAGAATAGGTGGAATCTGCAGAAGCATGCCTGATTATAGCCAACCCTTTCTGCAGTGATTTGCATGCTGAAGATACTTCAAACATTATGAGGTAAGAAACTGGCATTGTGTTTTAGATGCTCCCGTGCTGATTTTATTTTTATCTCTTTTAAAATAAAGCCCAGTGCATAGGACTAAACAGGTGAAGATGTCATCTATCTGAGTACTAGATTCATCATATTTCAGGTTTCTGCCTATTTTTTTGTCCCAGAGGCTGCACAGATTATGAAAAAGGAAGTGAAAATAGAGTATCCTGAGTATCTATGTGCTTCTTCACATACTTTCTTGAAGTTTCATATGGATAATAGCTATCTAAATTTAAAAAGCAAGCATACAAATAACTGAAAACTGTTGAGATAGCACTCTTATAACTAACATCCTCTCCCCCTCAAAAAAAAAGAAAGATACCATGTGTGATTTGTGAATCTTATTAGTAGACTTTGCTTATTGGGGTTTTTATTCTTCTGTAATTCTAGTGAAAGACTGTACATGGTTCAATATGATATGCTTATAACTGTTGGCAAGTATTTCCCAGATGGCTAGAGTTAGCATTACCATCTTTAACTCTGAACTTTCTATGAGCAGGAACTTGACTTGTGGTAACACATTCAAACTAGCGTTGTGATGGCAATAGCATTGTGCCTAAGCCAGATGAAGTTTTGGCCCCTAGAGCAAAATAAATATACATAGCTAAAGGTGACTATACAAATAGGAAGAAACAGCTGAGAACTTAAACCACACATAATACAGTAAATATGAGCTAGACCTTAGTTTCTTAATTTGTAAAATGAGAAAGTTGGATGAGACAATCTCCAAGCTGTTTCAAGCTATAGACAGTAATTCAATCTCTATTTTTTCCTGTAATTAATGTCTTTGAATTTGAAGGCTAAAATATATGGAACTGTTATTTCCTCCTCAAGAATTGGTCCCAGAAGACCACAGTTTCCTAATACTTAGAGATGACCTTTCCATAGATTTAGTTAACTAAGCCACTAAAAAAATAGCACCCTTCTGTGTTTATGCTATTAAACAGAACATTTTTAGAGAAGAGCATAATGATGAGCTTTATAATATGCTGTTTCCCTATGCTTACCCACACATCAATTTGAGTTGAATTGTATTACAAAACCATTGGCTATGGCACATCACTGATGAGCATATTTTGTTGTTTACGTAGGGTGCTCTCTATCAAGAACTATCACCCACAGACCAGAGTCATCATACAGATACTTCAATCCCATAACAAGGTATTGTAACATTCTAGCCTATCAAATCTCCTCTTATAGTCTTTGAAGCTAGATGAACTTAGTTCATCTAAGTAAATAGATGAACTTATTACTTGATAATGGGTCTACATGTAAAAAGTTTTTATCAGTTATAAGTGAAATTTGGAGTCTCATTAAGATTGCTATCACTTAAGAATGTAAATTGGGAAGAGATATATTTGTATACTTTAAAACCTGCTGCCTGAGGGTCTGTCTTTCAATCAGTCTGAATCCAGGTGCTTTTCAAGATCCTTACCTTTGGGACAGTGACAGGTCTTGGTACAGCCTCAATACTGGCAGCCACTAAAAATAAAGTAGGCTGCTTGAACAATCACAAAGGTTTGAAAGACAGCCAAGACCTAGGGCCAGGCTCAATGATAAAGTTCATCCTCTACACAAGACACACCTTAAAGACTGGGAGAGGTGGCTGTTTTATCTAATGCATAGAAACCAACACAGAGAGTCAAGGCAAATGTAAAAACGAAGGAATGTGTTCCAAACAAAAGAACAAGATAAAAAACCTCAGAAAAAGACCTTAATGAAATAGAGATTGGTCATTTATTTGATAGTTCAAAATAATGAGCATAAGGATGCTCACCAAGTTTAGGAGAAGAATGGATGAACAAAGTGAGAATTTCAACAAAGATACAAAATATGAGAAAGTAGTAAGTAGAAGTCTCAGAGCTGAGGAACACAATAACTTAACTGAAAAATACAGTAGAGAAGTTTGACATCAGACTAGACCAAGCAGAATAAAGAATCAGCAAACTTGATGACAGGGTAGTAGAATCCACCTGATCAGAATAGCAAAAAGAAAAAAAGAAGGAAAAATGGTGAAGACAGCTTAAAGAACTCATGGGACAACATAAAGCAGACCAACATTCACATTATAGGAGTGCCAGAAAGAGAAGAGAGAGAGAAAAGGGCAGAAAATTTATTTGAAGAAATAATGGCTGAAAATTTCTCTAACTTGGGGAAGGAAACAGATATCCAGGTCCAGGAACCACAGAAAGTTCCAAATAAGGTGAATTCAAAGAAACACACACCAAGACACATTATAAATAAATAGTGTGAAAAGTTGAAGAGAAGAAGAGAATATTAAAACCAGCAAGAGAAAAACAACTTGTCACATACAAGGGAACTCCCACAAAATTATCAGGAGATTTTCGACAGAAACTTTGCAGGCCAGAAGGCAATAGCACAATATATTCAAAGGGCTGAAAGAAAAAACTACCAACCAAGAATATTCTACCTGGAAAAGTTGTCATTCAGAAGCAAAGGAGAGATAAGGAGGTTTCCAGACAACAAAAACCAAAGGAGTTCATCACCATTAGACTGGTCTTGTTTTATGTAAGTCTTATAATAACTACAAAGCAAAAACCTACAGTAAATACACAATAGATAAAGAAAAAGGAATCTAAGCATACTACCATAGAAAATCATCAAATCACAAAGGAAGAGGGAAAAGAAGAAGAAAGGAACAGAGAAATTTAAAAACAGTCAAAAGACAAATTACAATAAGCACATAATTCTCAATAATTACTTTAAATACAAATGGACTAGATTTTCAAATCAAAAGGCATAGAGTGGCTAAGTGGATTACAAAAAAAGAAGAAGACCCATCTATATGCTGCTTACAAGAGACTCATTTCAGGTGTAAGGACACACACAGTCTGAGAGTGAAAGGATGGGAAAACATATTGCGTATCAATGGAAACCAAAAGAAAGCTGGGGAAGCTATACTTATATCAGATGAAATATATTTTAAAACAAAGATTGTAATAAGAGATAAAGAAGAGCATTACATAATGATTAAGGAGTCAATCCAGCAAGATAGTATAACATTTATAAATATTTATGCACCCAACATAGGAACACCTAGATATATAAAAGAAATATTAACATACCTAAAGAGAAAAATAGATAGCAATACAATAATAGTAGGGGACTTTAATGCTCAATTTTCATCAATAAATAGATTATCCGACAGAAAATCAATAAGGAACCAGTGGCCTTAAATGACTCTTAAAAGACCAGATAGACTTAACAGACATATACAGAACATTCCATCCAAAAGCAACAGAATATACATTCTTTTCAAAAGCACATAGAACATTCTCCAGGATAGATCACATGCTAGGGCACAAAACAAGTCTTACTAAATTTAAGAAGGCAGAAATTATATGAAGCATCTTTTCAGACCACAAAGGTATGAAACTAGAAATTAATTACAAGGAGAAATTGGAAAATTTATAAATATGTCAAGATTAAACAACATTGAATAACCAATGGGACAATGAAAAAATCAAAAGAGAAACAAAAAAAATCTTGAGACAAATTAAAATGGATATACAACATACCAAAACTTATGGGATGCAGCAAAAGTAGTTTTAAGAGAGATGTTCACAGCAATAAATTCCAAACTCAAGAAACAAGAAAAATCTCAAACAACTTGATTTTATACCTCAAAGAATAAGAGGAATGAACAAAGCCCAGAGTGAGTAGAGGGAAGGAAATAATAAAGATCAGAGCAGAAATAAATGAAATAGAAGCCAAAATGAAAAGAGAGACCAAAAATGAAGCATTCAACAAAATAGAGACAATAGAAAAGATCAATGAAACTAAGAGCTGGTTTTTTTAAAAGATAAACAAAATAGACAAAGCTTTAGTTAGACTCACCAAGAAAAAAAGAGAGAGGACTGAATTTAAATCAGAAATAAAAGACGAGACATTACAACTGATACCACAGAAATACAAAGGATCATGAGAGAATACTATGAGCAATTAAATGCCAATAAGTTGGACAACCTAGGAGAAAAGGATCAATTCCTGGAAACATACAACTTACAAAGACAGAACCAAAAAGAAATAGAAAATCTGAACAGACCAATTACTGGTAAGGAGACTGAATCAGTAATCAAAAATTTCCCAACCAACAGAAGTCCAGGGCCAGATGGCTTCACTGGTGAATTCTACCAAACATATAAAAAAGAGTTAATACCAATCCTTCTCAAAATCTTGCCAAAAAATGGAAAAGGAAAGAATACTTCCAAATTCATTTTATGAGGTCAACATTACCCTGATACCAAAATCAGACAAGGATGCCACAAGAAAAGAAAATTAGAGGTCAATATCACTGATGAATATAGAAGCAAAAATCCTCAACAAAATATTAGGGAACCAAATTCAACGATACATTAGATGGATTATACCATGATCAAATTGGATTTATTCCAGGGATGCAAGGATGGTTTAATATCTACAAATCAATCAATGTGATATACCACATCAACACAATGAAGGATAAAAATCATATGATCATGTCAATAGATGCAGGAAAAGCATTTGACAAAATTCATCATCCATTTCTGATAAAAACTCTCAGCAAAGTGGGGTTAGAGGGAATGTACCTTAGCATAATAAAGGTCATATATGACAAGCCCACAACTAGCATCATCCTCAATGATGAAAAGCTGAAAGTTTTTCCTCTAAGATCGGGAACAAGACAAGGATGCCCACTCCCACCATTTTATTCAACTTAGTATTGGAAGTCTTAGTCAGAGCAGTTAAGCAAGAAAAAGAAAGAAAAGGCATCCAGATTGGAAAGGAATAAATCAAACTGTCACTATTTGCAGATGATATGATACTATTTATAGAAAACACTAAAGATTCCACCAAAAAACTGTTAGAACTAAGAAATGAATTCAGTAAAGTTGCAGGATACAAAGTCAATATACAAAAATCTGTTGCATTTCTGTATATTAATAGCCAACTATCAGAAAGAGAAATTAATAAAACAATCACATTTACAATGGCATCAAAAAGAATAAAATAGCTAGGAATAAATTTTACCTAGGAGGTGAAAGACCTGTACCATGAAAACCATAAGATATAAGACATTGATGGAAGAAATTGAGGAAGAAACAAATAAATGGAATGACATTCCATGCTCATGGATTAGAAGAATTAATATTGTTAACATGTCCATACTACCCAATGCAATCTAAAAATTCATTGAAATCCCTATCATAAGTCCAGTGGCATTTTTCACATAAGTAGAATAAAGAATCCTAAAATTTGTATAGAACCACAAAAGACTCCAAAATAGCCAAAACTATCTGAGAAAGAAGAACAAAGTTGGAGGCATCATGCTTCCTGATTTCAAACTATATCACAAAGCTATAATAATCAAAACAATATGGTACTGGCATAAAAAAATATACATAGATCAATGGAGCAGAATGGAGAACCCAGAAATAAACTCACAGCTATATGGTCAATTCATGACAAATAAGCCAAAAATATACTATAGGGAAAGAACAGCCTCTTCAATAAATTGTGTTGGGAAAACTGGACAGCCACTTGAAAAAGAATGAAACTGGACCACTATCTTATACCATATACAAAACTTTATTCAAAATTCATTAATGACTTGAGTGTACAGCCTGAAACCATAAAACTCCTTAAAGAAAATATAGGCAGTAAGCTTGACATGCATCTTGGTGATGATTTCTTTGGATTTAGCACCAAAAACAATGGCAACAAAAGCAAAAATAAACAAGAGGGACTACATCAATCTAAATAGCTTCTGCATAGCAAAGGAAACCATCAACAAAATGAGAAGGAAAACTACTAAATGAGAGAAAATATTTGCAAATCACATATCTGATAAGGGATTAATATCCAAAATATATAAAGAGTTCATATAACTCAATAACAAAAAAAATCCAATTAACAAATGGGCAGAGGATCTGAATAGACAGTTTCCCAAAGAAAACATACAGATGGCCAACAGATGCATGAAAAAGTGCTCAACATCACTAATCATCAGGGAAATGCAAATTAGAACCACAATGAGATATCGCTTTACATCTGTTGGAATGGCTATTATCAAAAAGACAAAGAATAACAAGCATTGGTGAAGATGTGGAGAAAAGAAAATCCTCGTGCACTGTTGGTGGGAATGCAAATTGGTGCAGCCACTATGGAAATCAGTACGGAAATTTCTCAAAAAATTAAAAATAGAACTACCGTATGATCCAGTAATTCCATTCTGGGTATTTATCTACAGAAAATGAAAACACTAACTCAGATAGATGCATGCATCCCTATGTTCATTGCAGCATTATTTACAATAGCCAAGACATGGAAATAACCTAAGTGTCCATCAATGGATGAATGTTTAAAAAAGATGCAGTGTATATGTATATATAATGGAATATTATTCAGCCATAAAAAAGAATGATATCTTGCCATTTGCAACAACATGGATAGAGCTTGAAGGCATTATGCTAAGTAAAATAAATCAGAGAAAGACAAATACCATATGATCTCACTTATATGTGGAATAAAACAAAAACAAACAACCCAGAACTCACAGATTGGTGATTGTTAGAGGTGGGGGTGGGGCTGGGTGAAATGGATGATGGGGGTCAAAAGATACCAACTTTCACACAAAATAAAGTATAAAATAAATAAGTCCTGAGGATGTAGTGTACAGCATGATGACTGTAGTTAATAACACTGTACTGTATATTCAAAAGTTGCTAAGACAGTAGATCTTAAAAGTTCTCATCACAAGCAAAAAAATTTGTAATCACTCTGGAAGTGGATGCTAACTAGACTTATTGTGGTGATCATTTCACAATATATACAATTACCAAATAGTTGTGTTGTACACCTGAAATTAATATAATATATGTCAACTATATCTTGATAAAACAGAACACATAAGACAAACGAACAAACAAAAAGATTGAAATTTGGGATACAATTAGAGATCTAAACCATTTGACCTGATTTTGCAACTCTAGCTATTTTTGTTTTCAGAAGTGGGAGAAGTTGACCGCTAACTACTTCCCTTTTTTCAATTGAAGTAACATTGGTTTATAACATACAAATTTTGAGTGTACATTGCGACAACATGGATGGACCTTGAGGGTAACATGCTAAGCAAAATATGTCAGACAGAGAAAGATAAATACTGTAAGATTTCACTCATATGTAGAAGATAAAACAACAACAGCAGACACACACGTAGACACAGAGAATGGATTGATGGTCACCAATGACCACTTTTAAATGCTGAATTTGTTCTTTTCACTTTCACGGACCTGGGCATCATCAGTGTTTTCAAGTAAATTAAATGAAAGAAAGACATCCAGAAAGAAAGAACTTTCTCGAGGTATATTTATTCCTAATGCTTGTCCTATTTTCTACCACGAAACAGGTTTTTCTGCCAAAGATTCCCACCTGGAGCTGGATCGGTGGGGACAACATCATCTGCTTTGCTGAATTAACGCTTGGATTTATCTCCCAGGGCTGTTTGGTGCCAGGCTTGTGCACCTTTCTAACGTCTCTATTTGTTGAGCAAAACAGAAAGGTAACCTTGTAAATTGATGTTGAATCTTGGCTCTATCCCCATTTCCTCACATGCTAGGATCAGAAATAGAAAATAAAAATTCAGGAAAGCAAGAAGGCCCTAAGAAATGAGATTTGACTTCCACTTGAGCTGAGAAAGGTTTGAGAGATCTGGACCGAAGTCCTAGGTACTGCATTGATCTTGAGGGAGTTATTTGTCTTATTCTTGCCTAAGAGTATTTATCTGCAAAACAGAAACCATAACTCTGCTTTCTACCTGCAGCCCACTGTTATGAAAGTAAATGTATTCATAAAAGTAGAAGCACTTTGAGTTATTGAAAGTAGAAATATAAATAAAGGTTATATTATTAGTGGAGAAGTCGTATATTTAAATATAAATTAAAGGCAAAATAATTGACATAAATAACTCACCAAACAGAAATAACAATACAAATGATAATTAAAATCTAATTTTCCAGGTTATTTTTGGGACATTCCATGCAGTAATAATAATAGTGACCCCATACTATGTGCCTACTATGTGTTATACATTTTAAATATGTTTCCCCTCAGTAGGGTTTCAAGGTAGCATCCCAGTGATGGGTCAGTGAAGCCAACTAACTTGACTGTGTAGTAAGTTCGTGAATAGCAAAGGTGGAATTGTCTGACCTATGGTCCTACCACTGTGCCCCATTTGTTGGGTATCTACTCACAGTCTCCCACCTCAGATTCTTTGATGCCTTTGTCTGAGACAAAATAAGTGGTTAAAAGGGGTTATTGAAATGAACTACTATAGCACACAGAACAGCCTTCCAAATGCCAGTCCCATGAAATGCTCCAGGAAAGGTGTTCTGACTCTCAGCTGGCCTGATATCCTTTCTCCAAAGCCTCTTGGAGAGTGACCTTTCTCTCCATTTAATTATGAGTCCACATTTGCTTTTTCTTATACTCAATTTCCCTCTTGGCCTCTCTTTGCACTTGATTTCCTTTGTTCAAGAGTCAAAAAGTGTTTACATCTTTTCCAGTTCCTTCCCTGGTGCTGTTAAGAAAAGCAAAAGAGAGGAAATATGCTCTGGCCAGCAAAATGCTAACAGGAGAACACAGAATTCTTCTACAATTCCTTCTGTGAGTGTGAGGAGATACCATATACTGACAAATGGAAAAGACCATCGGCCACTGGGAAAGGGCTTGATGCTACTACAGTGAACATGCTTTAACTTTCACCTAATGGTCACTGTGTAGGGCCGGCCCAGGAAATGGCTTCTAAGGAAATTGTCTTTGCCTGTGTTGTATGCTTAGAGAGTGGAAGCTAACTGCAGCATCCGTTGTGACCATTGTGATTTTAATCTCCATGGCTGGAGAAAACAAATGGAATGAGAACTCCATATGTAGACTTTATCTCTTTTATGGAAATATAGAAGGTAGAGATGCAAAACCAGCCCTATTTTTTTGTTAATCTAAAGTTTTAACCTCCTCAAGGAGGGTGGACACTTGTCAATATTCGTCATACGATGGCTTTTGGAATACAGGAATTGAGAGAGAGAGATTTATGGTCGTGATAATTCTCTTTTTGTTTGTTTTGGAAGTGAAGTCTGACAACTTCTTTCAAAAATCCTAAACTGGGCAGTGAGGGTAAGGTCTTTTAATGCTGTACTCTGTACTGGTGCTTCGGATTCTGTAATGAACTATTAACTTGGGTTTAATGGCTAGAACTCCAGTGCCTTATGTCTCATTTTGGGGGGATTAAACACTTTTATTTTCTCTGACTGTCAGTTTCTGCGTCTATAAAATGAGAATTATTAGTCTCATAATCTTATTTTTCTAAGTATTGAGCTAATATTTGTAAAACTTCTGAGTACTCAGATTAGGAGACTTTAAATCAATGCAGTGTGTTTTGACTATATTGATTACATGATAAGAAATTATGGTCTGAAGAACATTTTTGGTTGGTTCTAGGCACGGAACATTGCCTTAAGCTTAAATTTAGATTAGATCTAATCTAACTGGTTTACTTGAACTCCCTGAATCTGCTATCCAAACCCTAAATCCATCTTGTCTCCCTGTTTCCATTTCTGATCTTTTAAAGACTCAAGAAGACTTCTCCATCTTCATGGTTACCATTTTTTATCCTCTTTCAAAACTGAAACATTTAGATTAAAAGTTCAAAGCTAAGTTCTTTAGTAAAGGGGACTTAAATAGTGGTATTAACTGCCCAGCAAGGTGACCCCCCCCCTCCCCAACAGAGGAATTTAAGAAAGTGGGAAAAAGCAGAGGATTCAGCTGAATCTTGGGAAGAGGATGATGTGTGCCCAGATTGCCTGAAATAGGTGGTCCTTTTTAGCAAGGCAGAATTTCTTGTTTGTGTGTATGTTTTTGTTTTGTTTTTCCTAAACCACAAGATGGCCACCTGAGGAGTATTTTTGAATTGTCCCTAACTCTCCACTGCTCCAGTGTTTCAGAGTTTATAGAAATTCCAGACTTTCATCTGAGGTTCTGGGCTTTAAGGTGCCTGTCCTGACATGTCAGAGCAGTTGGTGGTGATTCTGATGGCAACAGGTGGGGGAGAATGAGGACGAGATAAATATAACTAAATTCCGGGAGATCTTACACTAATATCAGAGATGAGTTACCTAACAACCCTGCTCCACTCAGGCTGCATTTAGCCTTTTTGAGAGAGAGTCTTCTCCCTTCACAGCTACCATTTCTCTAGAAATCTTCTGCTGTCCTTGATTTGTACATTCTCATTTCCATTGATTAGGATGGCTCTCTGAGTTCCTTTGATCCTATGAAGGGTTCTGATACTGGGCAGAAGCCATGAAAAGTTTTTCTTTGTGGTATGTGGTTAGTAGAAAACTGATATGTTTAAAAATCAAACATAATATGTTAAAAAACTAGCCATATCTAGAGAGAGACAACTTAGCTTCTATATATTCTTCCCATCTTATTTGTTACTGACTCAAAAACCAGTCTACATTGCTGAAATTTTTAGGAAAAGAATTGTAATTTCCAGCAAGGAGTCTTGGATACCATCTGGGAAGAAACTAAGTCATAATACTTCCACTTCATTCTGAACTCTCGAGTGAAGACAGTGGAGATGCATCTTTTAGTTCTTCCTTTGACATTTCTCTGGTTAAGCAGTAGGACAAATCTCCTTTCTATGACCTAAGTGCAATAGGTACTGGATTGCTGCTTAGCAGAATATACAACTTGAATGACAACATCCTACATTCCATGGTATTGTGCTTCATGTGGCATGGTTGTTTTTCCAGATTTCTCCTAAATGGCCCTGGCAAAAATATTTCTTTAATGGCCTGAAGAACAAAATCCTGACTCAACGTCTCTCTGATGACTTTGCTGGAATGAGTTTTCCTGAAGTTTCCCGGTAAGCTCAGAGAAATACTTTCTTCATTCATTATGCAACGACATTCTTTCAACAATGTTCATTGAGGGCTCACTGTAGGCTAGGCTCCACGACAAACACTTAAGACATAAGAATGAAGAAGTCTGAGAATCTGCAACCTAAAAGTTTACAGCCTATGTGGGACAATTTCATCCCTGTCCCAGTTGGCAAGCTGGCCATGAGTTACTTCAGGATGGATTCACTTAGAAGTTAACATTCTACATTTGGGAGGCCCTTCCTTTGCTGAGGGGCTGGTGTTCTCCCAGGTGGATATCACAAAGCTTGGTCATACTATTTTGAGCTAGCGCCCTGCTCGCCTCTCTTTCCTCACAGTGCTTGTCTTCCTTCCCAGGCTCTGCTTTGTGAAGATGCACCTCCTGCTGATAGCCATCGAACAGAAACCCACAGTTCACGGTTACTGGTACCAATGAGCCTTCAAATCTCTTCAGTTTTTCATCAGACGAGAATCTTTATGATTAAGACTTTTCCAAAAGTACAGCCATAACTAAGCATTTTGCCATTTGTCGAGAGCCAGCCTATTGGGCGCCCAGGCTGCTGTGGTGCATTTAGTACTGTCTCTAACGATTGGGGTTAGAATCTAATGACTGGGGTTAAAATGATTACCCTAGTGGGTACACAGGCCTTTTTCTACAGCCCTGCCCCAATTCTCTCTCATGAGCAGGGGAGAGAAGAAATGGTCACTTTCTTAGATCTGTTCTTCTTAGTATACTACCAGATCTTGCAAATCTTGACCAGGAAACAATCCTATGAAATAGAATTATTTGTGATAAACATGTCCCCACAAACTCTGGTCTTAGAAACAAATCTGCAAAGTATGGCAAAACAGGAATCTGACTGGCCCACTAGAAAAAGTCTGCTGTTGATAAAGCTGCTGGGTAGGTAAAGGAAAGAGGTAACATTATCAGGCCACCAGCATTTCCTGAGAACCCATATTCGATAATATGAGAGGTAAGAGAAGTTATCATGTAATAAAAAAGAAAATCTAGGATAAACGGAAAAGGAATAAGCCACAATGATACAGAGATGTAAGATGCTGAAAAATAAGAAAAAGTGGCAAATGGACCAGGGAACAAGAAAGGCTGTTACGTTGGCTTATGAGTGTTTTTTAGTAGAAAACTAACTTGAATGAAATTGGAATCAACAACTGGATTCTGATCCTGATTATAATTTGCTAGTCCTGTGGCCTTGGAGAAGTGTTTATCATATGTGAAATGAGGAAATCATATTAGTTAATACCTAAGACCCCTTCCAGCTCTGAAATTGACATTACCAGGAGCCCTGGAATTATAGGGAAATAGTCAAAATTCAGTAATTTTGAATCATCTGATATGGACTACGAAAGGATGATTTTGTACGAAATGTTGGGAAAGAAGAAAAGATATGTCTAAGTAGAGAGGATGCAAAAGATATCTGGGCAAAAGAAATTAGTGGAGTACTGTATAAGCAAGTCATTAAGGAGACAATAATGAATAGTATTGTCTGGCTGGCTAAATTCTATTTAACAATCCTGCCACACTCAAGAAAACTTCAATCTCTAGACCTATGCACAAATGGCCTTTCTACTGGAAATAGGTCATGGTAAAAAGATGAAGTCTTAGAATCATAAGGCAGGCTGTTTGGGTTTCAGACTGGCCCAAACTTGATCAAGTTTTACCATCTTTGGCTTTGTATCAGAATTATTTGCAAAGTTTTAAAGACGTGTGGATTCCAAAACCCCACTTCTGAACTTTATAAATCAAAATCTCCATGGGTGAGGGTCTGAGAATTTTTAAGTCCCATGATATAGACAGTTTATTCACTGGTATTTGGAAACTACTGGACCAAATGTTCTCAGGATCCTTTCCAACTCTAACATCCTAGTTTTATGTAAACTTTATTAAGATGACTATTAAGACATTCTAGACAGGAAACATGAATATTTTTTAAGCAGCTAATTTCCACATATATTCAAGAGGTCCTGGTGCTGTTTACTACCTAGCACACACCTACCCTCAGTGAAAGAGGAACCTGCTCCAAAATAGATTTAACTTTGGTTTCTCATCTAAAAGTCAGGTGAATCAAAGGGATTAAAACCTGATGTGGCAAAATATTGATAACTGCAGTCTCCTACATGATTGCTACTTCATGACCAACAGTGCTGTAAGCATTGTACTTACATTAACTCTTGAATCCTCACAACAATGCTATGAGATGGTTACACCTTTTAGTTGCATTTTGCAGAGGAGGAAGCTGAGGCCCAGAAAGGTTAAAAAGCAAGCTCACACCACTCCCAAGTGGCAGAGCCAGAATCTGAACTCGGTCTTGTTTCTGTGGCTGTGCTTCTCATCACAAAGCTGTGCTAAATCCACCACAGCGACTCTAAGTGGAAGGAAAATAGGGCATCTCAGTGGCTGGGTGAGTATGCTGGAAAACTGGGGAAAAGCTATCTTTTCTCACCTTTTATTTTCTCTTCTAATTGACACACTTGAACAGACTCTAAGACTTGCAAAAGCCCTGGATAATCATAAGGATTTGTCTTAGGGGATAATTTGTCCCCTGCTAAGAGATAAAGCTGGATCTGACCCCAGATCTAGTTAATGTTCTTGGTTTGTTCCAGTGGCGAACATGCTCTAATAGCACGGCTGGCCATGACTCATGAAGGGGCATCAAGCAATAATGCCAGTTTGGGAAAATCTTCAAAAGAAGTTCACCTCTTCTTTCAAATGCAACCAGAGATATGATCATGACTGTATCTTCATAACTAAATATTTAACATAAGCGCAGAGAACCCTCTCGTAAAAAAAAAAGAAAAAAGGAGATATGAAGATACAACTAAGCACACGCTTGCTAACTAGTGAGCATCAACCAATACTATTTAGGGGATAGAGGGCACAAGTCCATGGTCTTTCTCTTTCAAAGTTAAAAATAATTGTTCCACTCATTAATATCAGTCCGTTCAATAAATTTAGTGTTGAAAAAATATCACCCAGTTGTCTCAGGTGATAATCTACCTGAATATGGCTATTCAGCCTCTTTCTGCCTTGGCGTAGGCTGAAGAGCTTTCATTGTGCAAGCCCTTTTATATTTGTAAGGCTCTAACACTTGCACGTTACTTGAGAGTACCCTAACAACAAAATAAACTTCGCCAAAATGAAGACTTGACCCTTTTTCAATGTGACTATAAAAGCAGTGTGATTTAAAGGAGGAAAGGAGTACTTTTGTACCATGTCCAAACAAAATGAGGGGAGGTATGGGTTTATAAGACCTCACCGTACCAGAGGTCTGAAATAAAGGAAATAAAAACAGGAGATCCTGACAAACATAAGGAGAAATGTGAGGAACTCAAATAGGCATATGTAACGTGAAGAGTAATATTAATGAGTAATGGAGTACTGCATCAAGGAGTATCATGGATGAAATTTATAAGACAGCATCTTCAAACACACAAACTTTAAGAAAATAGAAAATCAAAATGTTCAAGTAATATAGAAATAGAAACAATTCATACGGTTCCTGCTCTCAAAAATCTTGCGGTCAAAATAGACAAAAATAAAGTCAAAAGAAATATACAGGTTCAAAAATAGTACAGGTGAACAAAAGGAACTTTTGAATCCAGCTGGTTAATTTGACATAATTTAATTTTAAATGGCAAGTAGCCTAAGGATGAACACCTCTACTATGACCGTAAGACTAGCAACTGTGTGGCCTTGGCCAATTTGGCATTGGATTCACAAGGCTCCATGCAGCTAAGTTGGATTGACCATCTCAGATTCAGGACAGAGTCCAGGGAGGGGGCTCACCCTTAAGCACAGCTGTGTATGCAGCTCAGCAATTATGTTGTGACGTGGCTCCCCTTAGTGTATTTAGCAGTAATGAAACAAAGAATTAAATATAGTCAAATTCACATTTTCTACTGCATTTGGCAGTAAAAGGGGATTGAATCCTATTAACCCTTCAATTTAGAGAATCCATTGGTAATGACAGAATGAAATACCAAATATTGCCACAGAAATTGGAGAGAAAAATTACTGTATTTTTATTTTCTGTTTCCAGTGGTCTGGTACTAAATCCATCTGCACAAGTTAAGCTGCATAAGAACACATTAGGGTTCTTTATTGCTGAATCTGCAAAGGAAGTCAGAAGGTAATTTTTTTTTTTTATCACTTTACAGGGAGAAAGTCCTAAAGCAAATGCAACTTAATGGCAGGCAGACTGAGTCAGCATCATGCTCCCTTTGTGTTAAGCCTCACATAAGTCCTTCTTGATTTGTCTTCATTGTCCAGAGCCTTCTTTTACTGTACCAGCTGTCACAGTGATGTGCATGTTCCTGAGCTAATAGAAGAATGTAGCTGCAAACACAAGAGCCATCGATTCACCACAGGTAACTGCACTTCGTATCTGGCTGTCCTCAGCCCAGCTTCTGGGGGCATGTCTCTTAAAAGACAATGCCCATCTGAACTTGGCCAGGAAGTGGCAGACATTTCCCCATTGGGCATACAAGACCTGAGAATCAGTCTTTTAGAGCTAGAAGAAACCTTGCTAGTCATCCAGTTCAACTCCTTCACAGGCTAGACAGATGAGTTTCAAAAGTGATTCAGTGATGTTGTCCAAACTCACAAAGCCTGTTGGGGGCCTGCCCAACTCAATCCCAAGCACGCTGACTTTCAGCCATTGTTTGCTCGCTACATCGCACTGGTCTCCCTAACTTCAGTCTGGAAGTTCAGCCTGTATCTGACTGCTTGGTTGGCCATAAGGATGCCACCTCATGACCATGCCCTTTTGTTAAAATTAAATTTTTTACTGAGATATATTTGACATACGACATTGTGTAAGTTTAAGGTATACAACATATTGATTTGCTACATTTGTATTGCAATATGATTACCAGTGTATCCTTAGCTAACACCTCTATCATGTCACTTAATTATCCTTTCTTCTCGTGTTGGGAACAATACCATCCCTTGAGGGATCTGCTTCCTTCATGGATTGCAGGGAGTTTAAAATTTACTCATCCTGACACAGTGTTGAGGAAAAGTAACTTTCTCTCTTTCCTCTAGTTGAACTCAATAGCTTGCCAAGAATCCTTTCTACTCAGTAGCGGGAAAAGAAAAATTAATCTCAAGCATTCATGATAACTTAGTCCCATCTGGTTTAAAACTTAATCTCTTTCAGGTATGTTAAAATTCTTTGGGTAAAACCCCAGTGTCTCAACATTTAAACTTAATCAAGTCAAAATTTCAACTTCCTATCAGGACTACTCTTATCTCTAAGGTTCTTATCCTCTCCTTCTCCCCAGCATTCTATTTCAATGCAGGAGTAAACTTGCTTAACATCACAATTGCTCTTATAGTGCACAGCAAGACATCCTTTCATGCAAGTACTGACTGGTCCCTGAGGTGCCTCATTCCCTTTGGTCTGTGTCAGTTTCTGTGACCTCTGCATCAGCAGCCAGTGACTCTCTTCCTCCTGGCTTTGGGTCGCCTTCTGTCATTTGTTGCTGAAATCCATTGTCCCTGCCATAGCTTCCGGTCTTGAGGTCTCCAAAGCCACTTTTCGCATATTCGTAGTCTTTTCATCCATATGTTATTTTGGTTTCTTGGCCATTTGGGATTTTTCAATCTCCCCATGTGTGTACGTATGTCAGGATGTGGGAACATGGGTGGATGTCCTCTCAGGCACTCTCCCTGCTAAAACACACGTGCCACCAGGTCTCCTCTTCTGTAGTCATCTTGTGTTGTTACTAAACACTCCTGCAAGTACACTCCACCAAAAATCCACATGAAAAGGGAAGCACCTCTCTCATTTTCTCCCCTTGCACACCACAAAACTATCATATTTTCCTTGTCTAGCTACCCCTCAACAACCTGAAACATTAGGTGTGTGTATAGGGTGGGGGAGACTGGGTCCTTTCTCAGGCTCTGTCATTTTTCCTAATAGCTTTATCGAGACGTAATTCAAATACCATTAAATAAATACCATATTGATTTAAAGTATATAATAGCTCAGTGGGTTTTAGTTTGTAAACAGACTTGTGTAACTACCCCCACAATCAATTTTAGAACATTTTCTGTACCTCAAAAACAAACTCCATACTCAATAGTGGTCACTCCTTATTCTCTTCTTCCCACACCCCTAGCAACCACTGGTCTACTTTCTGTCTTTACAGATTTGCCTGTTCTGGTTGTTTCATGAAAAGAGAATCGTACAGTGTGTGGCCTTTTGTGTCTGGCTGCTTTCCCTTAGCTGTGTTGTAGCATGTATCAATAGTTCATTTCCTTTTATGGCTGAATAATACTCCATTGTATAGATATACTTTATTTTCTTTGTTCATGCATCTGTTGATGGACATTTGGATTGTTTCTACCTTTTGGATATTGTGGATAATGTTGCTATGAATATTGATGCGCAGATATGTGCTTGAGTTCCTGCTTTCAATTTTTTGTGGATATATCTGGAAGTAGAATTGCTCAATCAAGTATTAATTCTATGTTTAATTGTTTTTTTTCAAGGAGGTTTATCCATGAGCTAACATCTGCTGCCAATCCTCCTCCTTTTGCTGAGGAAGACTGGCCCTAAGCTAAGATCTGTGCCCATCTTCCTCTACTTCATATGTGGGACGCCTGCCACAGTATAGCTTGACAAGCGGTGCATAGGTCCCCACCCGGGATCTGAACTGGTGCACCCCGGGCCACCAAAGCGGAACGTGTGAACTTAACTTCTGTGCCACCGGGCTGGCCCATATGTTTAATTTTTTGAGGAACTACCATACTGTTTTCCACAGCAACTGCATCATTTTACATTCCCCACCAGTAATGCACAAGGATTGCAATTTCTCCACATCCTATCCAATACTTATTTTCCTTTTTTTAAAATAATACCCATCCCAATGGGTGTAAAGTAGTAGCTTATTGTGGTTTTAATTTGAATTTCCCTAATGGTTAATGATGTTGACCATCTTTTCATGAAGATCTTAATGGCTATTTGTATATCTTCTTTGAAGAAATGTCTATTCAGATCCTTTGCCCATTTTTAAATTGGAGTATTGTCTTTCTATTATTGAGTTATATAAGGTCTTTATGTATTTTAGATATATGTCCCTTTTCAGATTTGCAAATATATCTCCTATTTTGTGATTTGTCTTTACATTTTCTTCATATAATTTGAAGCACAGAAATGTTAAACTTTGTTGAAGTCCAATAATGTATTTTTCCTTTTGTCGCTTGTGCTTTTGTGGAATATTGAAGAAGGCTTTGACCAACCTAAGGTCATGAAAAGTTTACTTCAATATTTTCTTCTAAGAATTTTATATTTTTAGCTCTTACATTTAGGTCCATGATCCATTTTGAGTTGATTTTTGTGTATGGTGTGAGGAAACAATACAAGTTCATTCTTTTCAATATGGATATCCACTTGCTAAGCACCATTTTGTTCCAAAGGCTGTTCCTTCCCTATTGAACTATTCTTGGCACCTTTTGAAAAAACAGCGGACTTAAAAGTGTGCGTTTATTCCTGGAATCTCAATTCTGTTCCATTAGTCTATGTGTCTAGTTTTATGCCAGTACCACACTGACTTGATTACTCTAGTTTTATGTTTTGAAATTAGGAAATATGAATCTTCCAACTTTGTTATTCTTTTTCAAGATTGTTTTGATTATTCTGGTTCCCTACATTTCCACATGAATTTTAGGATAAACATGTCAATTTCTGTAAAGAAGCCAGCTGGGATTTTGACTGGAATTTTGTTGAATCTGTAGGTCAATTTTAGATACACTGCCACTTAACTATGTAAGTCTTCTGATCCATGAACATGTGATGTCTACATCTATTTAGGTCTTTAATTTCTTTCGATTATGTTTTATAATTTTCAGATAATAGGTCTTACACTACTTTTGTTTTTAAGTATTTAATTCTTTTTTAATGCTATTGTAAATGAAAATTTTTTCTTGATTTTGTTTTCAGATGATCCATTGTACATGTATAAAAATACAATGGATTTTTGTATATTGATCTTGTATCTGCAACCTTACTGAATTATTTTAGTAGGTCTAATATTTTTTTGTTACATTTTATTTCATTTGCTTGCCTAATTGCTCTGGAATTGTCTCCACTACAATGTTGAATAGAAGTGGTAAAAGCTTGTATCCTTATTTTGTTCTTGACCTTAGGAGAAAGCGTTAGGTATGATCTTAACTGTGGGTTTTTCATAGACGCCTTTTATGTGTTTGAGGAAGTTTTCTTCTATTCTCAAATTGTTAACTTTTTTTTCTTTTTTTATAGTGTAGCATTTTGGCCTTTGTCAAATACTTTTTTTTAATAAGGATGTGGTTCTTGTCCTTTGTTCCATTGAAGTGGTATATTACATTAATTGATTTTCAGATGTTAAACCAATCTTGTGTTCCAGGAGTAAACCCCATTTGGTCATAGGGTAAAGTCCTTTGTATATGTGCTAGGTTTTGTTTGCTAGCATTTTGTTGAGGAAGTGTGCTTCTATATTCAACAGAGATGTTGGACTATGGTTTCCTGCTTTTTGTCATGTCTTTGTCTACTTTTGCCATCATGGTAAAATTGGAAGCAAAGAATGAATTGGGAAGCCTTCTCTCTTCTTCTCTATTTTGGAAGAGTTTGTGAAGTAACCCTTCTTTAAACATTTGACAGAATTTTAATGTTGAAGCCATCTGGGCCTGACTTTATTTTTTGATTTTTAATTCAATCTCTTTACTTGTTATAGATCTATTCAGATTTGCTATTTCTTTTTGATACAGTTTTCGTGGTTTTGTCTTTCTATGAATTTGTTCATTTAATTCATATCAAATTTGTTCACAAATAACGAATTGTATACAAAAGTGTTCTCTTATAATCCTTTTTATGTTTGTCAGGTCAGTAGTAAAATTCCCCCATTTATTAACATGAGTGTCCCCTCTTTTTTGTGACCAGTCTTGTGAAAGTGCTGGTCAGTTTTGTTGGGTTTTTCAAAGAATCAACTTGTGTTTTAATTGATTTTTCTCTATTTATTTTTTATCTTTTAATTAAATTATTTCCACTCTAATTTTTATTATTTCCTTGTTTTAGCTTGATATGGGTTAATTTGCTTTTCTTTTCTCAGTGTCTTAAGGTGAAATTTTAGGTTAGGTCATTGATTTCAGATCTCTTTTCTTCTTTAGTAAATATAGGCATTTACATCTATAAATTTTCCTCTAAGCACTCTTTAGGGGCATGCCATATTTTTGATATGTTGTGTTTTTATTTTCATTCATCTAAAAGTATTTTGTAATTTCACTTGTGATTTCTTTTTTTAACCCATTGGTTATTTAGGAGTGTGTTGTTTTTATTTTCACATATTTATGAATTTCTTTAATTTTCTCATTTCATTCCATTGTTATT